CCCACCCCCCCACCGCAACCCTCCCCCCGTCATCAGGAGTGTCTTTTAAAAGTCATCGACTCATTTTTGACCTTGTTATTGTCAGAAATGAACCTCAGTCTGGGTCAATCCTACCTGGAACTCCCACTGTTCATTCATTTTTCCAAGAAGGGAGGATTCAGGACGAGGATGATCAATTTTCCTCTGTTCTTGGACGAGCCTTTCATTCCTGGCTGTTTCCTCCTGGGAGAAGCTACTTTTCATCTTTTTTTTCCGACGGTCTGGCTATTGATCTGCTGCACAAATTGCACCCATCGAGAGCTAACCGGATGTTCTGTCATGTCAGTGACATTGAACGAAAGACGGCGAACACGAAACCTGGCAGATTCTCACTCGCTCAGATTCAGACAGATGTAGAGTCTCTGCAGTCTGAGATGAGTTTGCCGAGGCAGTGGCGACAGCTGTGGTGCTAATTTTTAATGGTCTGCCAATCATAAAAAAATATCTTCACAACAATCGAGGAACTGACGAGGGTTTTATTGGAAATGTCTAACTGGGCGCATAAATGTTTCCTCACAGATACAGTGTAGACTCATGAAGAGGTAATAATTCTGTGCTTGTTCCAAATCAATTAATGCATAATAATGATGTTTTTTTATTTGTTCAATTCGTTCTACTGATGCTAAATTAAATAAAAGTAGCCTCGCTGAACTGTCAGTCATGGGAAAACGCAGCAGTGCCAGGGTTAGTGACTGTGACTGGATTCAAAATTCAGATCAAAAGACGAAGTTGTCACTCAGTTGATAACTTCACGATACATCTTCAGTAATAGTCTGTGTTGTTATTAGCCACTTTTAGCTCTTCTATGGTAGAACATCATGTTGATTTGGTCAATTCCGATTTTATAAAAAGACTTAAAAATGAAGACTTACAGACGTACTGTGTTCTGTGTGGAAACAGAGTCAGTGGTCAGTGTCGTCACAGCGTGGCTCAGAACTCCATCCAGATTTTTGTATTGCGCCTCTGTGTGTCTTCTAGCCGTCATAGTAATGGGAGAAAGAAAGGAGTCAAGCAGAGAGGGAAGAACAGACTTGGTACATGAAGTCCAAGTCCTCTGTTACCATGGCAACACGTCACAGCCAGGACACGAGTGATTTGCTTGAGTAATTAAAATGTTTTTTTGGCTGTCATTTCATGTGTGCCTTTATCAGGCAGACAGAGAGAGAGAGACAGACAGAGAGAGAGAGTTTACCATTTGGAATCTTAGAGACTGTATTGTATATTTTTTATATGTGAACAATATTTTTCTCACAATTCGACTGTAACACTTTGACAAATCCATTAAAATTTTATATTTTATATTTGATGCACTAATGGTACTTTTTGGCCTGAATTTGTTCCTGTACTTGTTTGGTTTCTGTCCTAATTGTGTTCAAAGCATCAGCTCTGCAGTTGTCAAAGTTGTTAAAATGTTATGTTTTATATTTGATGCACTAATGGTACTTAGTTGGGCAAATATAAAAACATGGAGATAAATTATTATCCTACCCAACCAACAAAGCGAGTTGATGTGTTGCCTCCAACAGCCCTGTAGGTGTAGCTGTAGAGCGAGTATTTACGGCGACCATCGTCATTAGTTTCATTCTTCAACACCACGTTACATCGTATTATGTTGTGCTAATGGACTTATACTCATGTTGTTAATTGGTGAAGTAATGGCACATGTTGACGTTACATTAGTAAGAAATGTGTTGACGAAAGCTGTAGATAAAAACGTTGTTTGTCGTTCAACCACAGTTTGTTGATGTGTTTATCTCACGTCTCTCACCTTCGCTCCTCTCTGGTTGTTCATATATGACAGATGACGCGAGGCTATTCCCTGAAACTCCCACCCTTTATCACTGCAAACACTGACGGCCTGAGCTGATCTCTGATCTGCTCTGTGATTGGTCCAGCGTTTCAGTCACGAGATATAATCGGTCGGAACAGTTTGTTTTTCGTTTTTCAACAGTTTTATTTTCTCCGCCCTCTACTTTACCTATTATTATGTCAACGTAATGTAATGAACCATGTCCTTACATTTAGAATATTATTTCACTGATTTTCCTCATTTCTGGTAAAAAAAAACACAAATGAAATCACTCACTTTAGAAGAACTGATTTCTAATCTTCTGATCCGCTGTGAACTCTGTAGAAGTATGATTGATTTGATATTGAGAAGGTTTTAATGGCCGCTCTGAGTAAACTGGCTCATGACAGCACTGAGGATCACTACGGCTTTAAAAGCCAACTCCTCTGTGTTCAGGGCTGGAGGCGCCGGCCCCCGCTCCACCTCCTCCTTTGATTACTCAGACATACGACACCCTTTGATTTAGCGTTTGGATGGAGGTGTCGTGATGTGATAAGCCATCACAACGTTATTCACCACAGTGAATGAATGCCCAGCAGTTTGAACAAACTCGTCTCTGAGCTTTTCATCCGTCCCGTCTTGGTGCAGTTGTTTGTGGAAAAAAACCTCATAAAGTATTTAACATCTAAACAGCACCGTCGACAGGAACTGAACTCACAGCCTGGAGGAACGACTTCTAGTGTTGATCTTTTCTACGGTGTCCGTTCTCTGCCCACAGACTACCTGCTTCACTCGCTGCTTTTAGGGAATTCAATATTGTCTTTAATGATCCAGTGATTGGTTTAAAAAATGTCATAAAGTTTGTGTCAATGAGTCTAACCACAATGACGTTGTCAAACCACATCAGTGTAATATTTCGTTGTACTAACCTGTGGCTCTACAGTAGAAACTGACCTGATAAACCTCGGATTAAACAGCGTCCCTGGTTTGAATGGATATTTTGTGTCTGAAAATGTTTTCTGAATTAGCAGTTAGCCTAAGCTAGTGAGACTAGAACATGGTTAAACTGGACTAATAGGGTTGTCAGGTAAAAAATATATATCATCTTATGTTGTCTGATTGACAGCCATCACAAAACAGTGGCTTTTGGGAGCCTTTGATAAAGCATTAGAGAGGCTCTGTACTGGTTTGGACCTTCATTTCATGCCGATTATTAAGAAAATACAGTTTTTGAAAGTTACATAAGACATGGTTGATGCTTTTCCAAAGGATTAAAAAAATCATTCTCTGCACAAATTCATTATTTAATTAGTTTCACTCAGACAAATGTTATTCTTCTTTTGTTTGGACTCTGTTGTATTTCTCCACAAATCTGCAGAATCTCAGTCTTGTAACATTGTCTGTAAAGTAGCTGCTGCTTGATTGGTCAAAAAGTTAATTATGTGTTTAAGTCAAACAGTGGTTGAAGAGCGACTGCTCATTAGACAAACAAAGTGTGATGTGCTGAAATGACTAATTATGGAGCCATATGCCAGCTATTGGCTTGTTGTGAGTGTTGATTCATGAAATTGTTCCCTCTCTGCATAAATATTTCCACTAACTGATGCTGGTGCTTGTTTTTCTCCTCCACAGAATGAGAAGCCTCTGGGCCACTCAGCCAGCAGGTCCAGCAATATATCCAAGGTGAGAAACCTGTTCATTTACCCACCTGCGCATTTAAAGAGTTTCACTGTGGGAGGGGGACGGGAGGGGGGTGAGGGTCAGGTAAAGGTCACATTTGGGTTTGGGTTTGGGCCACTTTCACCTGGGGGAGGGTGAGGGTCAGGTAAAGGTCACATGTGGGTTTGGGTTTGGGCCACTTTCACCTGCAGTGTTTAATTTATAATGAATGATTAACCTGCTCCTGTATGTTTTTGGACTCGGTGACCACTGAACTAACTGCCACTTCCTGCTCCTCCTCGTGGCCCATCACGGTGGCCTGTTCATGTGGCCCCTTTGGTTAGAAAACACACAGAAAAGCATCAAAGAAACAAGGAGGATGAAAACATTTTTTTAAAAAAGTGATTTTTAAACAGTGATTTAAAAACAGCAGCAGAACTTTTGGACCTGATTTCCTCGGGCAGGTTGTTCCTCAGTCTGGCAGCTCTGATTACAAATGTTCTACCCTCCTTCTGTTCTAGCCCAGTTCTAAAAACAACCAGTCAGGAGGTATCTGAGGATCTGAGGGCGCAGGAATAAGTTCATGTTGTCAGACATTCAGTAAATAACTCGGGGCAAAGGCAGCGGGGCTTTTAAAGTCGGCCGGGGAAATCTTTAAATCAAAACAGGTAAAGCAGGATTGATCGTGGCTGCGGTGATGAGATTCAGTGTGGAGCTGCGGGGGAGGGGGCAGACACACGGGGGATGCTAAGCTGTTGATTGAGAGGAGCTAATAGAAGAGCGGCCTCGATGGCATCACATCAACCTCATCACGACCTCGTCTCTGATCGATCTCCAAAGAGCGGACGCGTCTTCACACCTCATCTCCACAGTTCAGCAGCGCTCACTATCGCTCACGCTCCGACCCACCCCTCCATTCTCTGTGACCTCTTCCCTTCGTCCCTCCCTCCTCCCTCCGTTTCCCCCTCCAGGCAGAGGCTGCTGCCTGCATCCAGTCCAGCTCCCGAGTTTCCATCTTGGTTCTCCTGAGCCTCTTAACAGGATAAACCTTTTTACTTGTGCTAATAGATGTCAGGCTCGCTTTACCACCGCGCGGTGCACGATCGACACACACAGACGGCCGCGCCTAGAAACAAAGATGCCATGACACTGGTAGATGTCGAACATTCCCCTCCTGTTAATTGTTAAATGTTTAAGAGCTACTTCAAAGTGGTTTAAAGGGGCAGTTCAACACTTTTTTCAGGTCTTTCTAAGGTTATGCATCAGCTCTGTTCCAGATCTATGCAGGAGTCACTTCTTAATTTACAAGTTTACAAAAAAAGAATCATATTGGCCTGATCATCTCCCCACCTTTAGTTTTATTACATCTCAGCAACTGCTTTGGGAACAGATTCCATAAATTTAAATGTAAGCGTCCTCTTCATCACAGTTTGTTTGACTCTTTGAAGAGCTTTTATTAAGCTGCTTCTCAGAGTCAGAGTGGAGGAGCGCAGACAATCTGCCTTCTCTGATGAAAAAAAGATTGAAGCTAATATTTCATTCACTTTGAATTTAGCTTTAATAGAGAGTTGTGTTGAATGTTGTTTGGATGTTTTTAGAAGTCAAGTTTTTCACCATCCCTGAGGTCAAGATGGAGCAGAGGTCCATGTGCTGCTCACCTACACTCGTGACCCACTGCATTCTGGGCTTTCTCATGGATTTAAATGAACAACGTTTTATTCCTCACTTCTTTGAGAACTTGTTCTGTCAGTAGCTTTATTTCAGTGAGGAATTTGAACACACGTCTGAAGGACTGATGCAGCCATCACTGGATGAATGATCGATCTTTGCTCTGATGTAAATTGACCAATTTTGGTTTCATGGTTAATTGTGAAGAAATGATCAGTTTACACAAATATGAAAAACACACTTCTCATATAGTTTACCACTGTAAAAGAATGTGAAACTGTAAGTAAAATAGAAAGTTTCAGGGTTCATATTTACATGTGTCGACAGCTGACTTGACTTATTTTTGGGATTCAGAAATTTTAATTTTAATTTATCTTTTTTTATAAGAATATCCAAGGACCCGAACCAATGTTTAAAAAACAAAACAATATCAATATCAATAATCAAATCATGCAATTTTTTTTTTGCGATGGAGTTTTTAAAAGTTTAAAATTTATTATTATTATTATTATTATTATTAAAGTTGCTACTAAAAGCAGAAGTGAACCATCTCAACTTATCTGCTCACTGCAGAATTCAGGAAGTTGTGTCTGAGCACCAGGCCTCCAACAGGAAGTGTGGCTGCAAGAGCAGTGTTGACAATCTGTCTAAGCCTTAGCTTTGAATGCACGCACTTAAAAAACCCTAGAAGATTAGATTTATATATATATATATATATATATGTATATATATATATAACTGAGTGAACTATTAAATGGTTTCCACATTCATTTTGTTCACAGGAACTTGGTTTCTCGTTTTTAATGATTCCCTACTGATTCTGTGAAAAGAATCGAATGTTTTTCCGCTCGGCCCAGTCTTTCTTTAACTGTGTAATTGTCCTTCGTATAAAAAACTTTTGTCTTCAACTGTAATGTTTGTCGATTAAGGAGCTTCAAATGAAGGCTGCCCAGCAGATGTTTTTACAGTTTTACAGTCTCCGTGATAAACGACGTTAATGGCCTGAGCTCCAGGTAACTCATCTGTCAATCACAGGCTTCGTCTGTTTAGTCAGAGGTTTCTGGAAATGATTTATTGTGGGTGAATATCCTGTACACGGGTACTTCATTTTTCCTGGTGAACGTGTGTCTAATGGAGTGTCAGATGTAATGTGTGAGTGGAGCTCTCAGGTTTGACAGACTTAATTAACTCACAGCATCCACTCTGTCAGCTGACGTTTCCTCCTCCGTCCTTAAAGGAATCAAGTCTTCAACGCCCGCTGAGCCACAGGTGTATAAGTGTAGATGGAACGATCTGTTGTCGTTGTCGACAGTTTGGAATTTTTAAAGAATACAAGGATTTGGGAGAGTATTTAGAAGCAGCTACAGAGCCTGGACGGAGGCCACAGTGTGGGCTGGTGATTGGTCGTTGACCTGGCACTGGTGGAGTTTTCCTGTCGGGGGCTTAACTGTGACTGTTTCTCTCCAGTAGCCCAGGTCCAAGGACATGGGTGCAGCCTCCTACACAGTCTGGATCTCTGGATAAAAACAAGCCTCCCCTCCCACCCCCGCTGCTCTGTGGACTTGATTTGATTGTCATCAAAACATCTGGTGCTCTGAAATTCAGATTCAAATTGTTTGAGGTTAAAGTGCTTCGACGCACATGCCTGTGTTTTTCCTCCTGGTCGCAGCAGTACCATTTTGTTCAGGTCTTTTCCACATGGCTGGCCATGTTGGATGCTGAGGGCTGGGCCAAACCAGTGTTCTGAAGAAAGAGCGTTCTTTGGAAAAGGACCCTGTTTTTCTGTTTTCACTGTTAAATTGCTCAATCTGGCTGCTTCCTCTCACCGAGGCTGGGAAACCAGGCTGTGGTGGTTTCAGAGATTTAAAGTTATAACTGTGGAGTTGGTGAGAAATAAAACTGACAAAACGGGCAGTTCTCTGAAGCAGCACAAATACGGGCTCTTCACTCTTTCGCTGCTGATTCACCTAAACGTTGCTTTTGCACCAGTGCAGAATGTGAAGTAATTGTGTTTTGTGAGTGGAGTAACTCCAAACAGTGTGTGTTCTCTCTGCTAGTTTACGTGCACTGTGTGACCCAGATCACAATTTCCAGTGTGTCAGAGAAACTTTTTCCATGAGTCATGTGCCAATTACCTGCTGTTTCTTAGCATTTGCTGCACTAAAACCCCAGATTCTCTGGAAGTGTTGTTTTCTCTGAGACTAAACCCAGAGAAACACCACCTGTGTCACCTGTTCTCCAACTACTGATCCAGACTGCAGTCAGCAATTACAGACTGTCCGTGGCATAACTGACGTCTGTGCTTCAACACTGCCTCTCCGCCAGTGACAGAAGCAGACTGGTGGCCTGTCTCTTCCAGATCCTCAACTCTATAAATAGGCCTTTACATGAGTGGTTATCAGCCTGGTTCCAGCCTGGTGCCGCGGGGGTTCTGTCACTGCATCCAGACTCTTTTGTGAATTTATACTCAAATGTTTCCACCCCACAGGGTTGTCTTGACACTTTAGTAGAGTATGGAGGTGAATGTTGTCATTCAAGAGCTGAAACCCTGGTTGACTTTGACGTTGAGCTCCAGCAGGGGGTGCCCTCCTGCAACTCCACCTCAGAACTCTGCGGTTGTCGTGTAGAAAGTCAAGCTAATTGATTAGCATGAAAACAAACCAGTCTTTTGGGTCAGAAAAACATAGCAAATCTTGTGGAAGGCGTCGAATTCTGGAGTTTTAAAGATGTGAAAATGTAAACTTCATTATCACGACGACGTTAATCTGTCGACTGAACGGCCCTCGCTTCAGCAGATTCCTGATGAGATACTGTCCTTTTCCAACACTTTATTGAGATTCAATAACAAGAAGAACTTTGTGTATGTGTGTGTGTGGTGGAGCCACGTGACATTTGTTTTTATTACCGGCGAGAGCGTCTTCATCCTATTATCTTTTTTAGAAGTGCAGGTAAAATGAAACCAAATTAAGAGAGGAGGGTAAAAATGCATTTAAATCAGAGAAGTTACATTTAATTAAATACCTTCCAGGGAGTTGTTTGTTTTCTGTAAAGCTCGTGCAGAAACCTAGTCAGATGTGTGCATAGCAAAATTATTATCTAGATGCTGGGTCAGTCAGGTATACACACCTACCAGGGCGTCTTCTTGCTGGTTAGAGGTTTGGGGGGTTTTGTATTAAGTAGCAGAACATTTGTCACACACTCACACATTATTTTATGAAGTCAGACCGGTGAAGGCAGATGTCCTATCATCCTCTCCTGCTGGGAGTAACAGTGTCTGTGATATTCTGTAATGAACACCTGGTCTTTGCTCCAGGCGACACATCCTGCGACAAGAACTCTTTAAAAAAGTTCCAGTCTGAGTTACTGTTCACTTACATTCTCAGTTTCATGTTTTGTTGCAGTTCTTCCTCCCCCTCATGGTGTCACCTGTGTTCTATAAACTGAAAATGTGCACGTACTCTCCATACATGTAGTTGATGTTTCTAACTGGGGCTGGTGTCTAATGTTAAAAATCTCATTCTCCCCAATCTTATCTTTTTAGATTTATGGAAATGTTCACCTTAGCTTCTGTATCACTGATTTCCATACGTTGCCTCCCCCGTGACTGGAACCTCTCCTCTTAGCTCTGAGAGATATTTGATGTTAACCTGTCTTGTTCCCCCTCCAGGCCTTCTTTTGAACGATGAGTTCCATTTGAATCTGTCACTGGTTTAAGAATTGTGCAGGGTGACAGGGCTGACAGATGTGGTGGTGGGAAAAAAGAAAAAAAACAGGTTGCTTCATATGCTACAAACCCCATGTGTTCCATTCCTGCACACGTCCTGACATATCTGGTCATTATGTATTTGCAGTTGTCAACTGTGGAGGTTCATGGAGTGAAGGTGTAGGATATTGAAACTTTCCTCTCACTCCTGACAAGAATCCCGAACTTTTTGAGTTGAACTGTGATCGGTGGAATCAACTCGAGGGTCAGGCTAAAAATGGTCGGCATTTATGGAAGAGTGCTTTTCACGATTTAATGACCACTGAAGGAGGGCCAGAGCACAGGTGTTTGACCTTCAGCAGCTTTCTCACAAATACAGTATACACATATATATATCCAAATATACTGACATAAACAAATACATTATAAACATATATGTGTATATTTGACATATATGTTTACATATATATGTCAATCGTTTAGATTTTCTAATCAGATCCATCAGTTATAACACATGTACAATATACACACATGTATATACAATATATGTATGTATGTGTGCATGTGCAGTATGTACAATATATACATACAGTATGTGTATATATGTATGTTTATACAATGTAAATAAATACATGTGTGTACATTAATAGTATATTTAAATCCCTTGTCTTTGAAGTCTTTGAAGTGCATCACATACATGATATATATTGTATGTATGATATAAGTGTTTTTCTCGCAGCTTCCTGTAAACATCTGGCTGAACAGACGTGTCCCTCATGTGTCCGTCTTGTTAGAGACTTCTCTCTGGGCGCCTGTGATTCATGGTTGCTGTAATGTTGAAGGTCGCTCTATCAAAGTGGTGAAGAATCAAATGGAAAAAAAAATACAACAAAATGAAATCATGCACAGATGGAGGATTAGTGTGAAGGTGAGAGGTGCTCAAGGAGAGAGGCTGAATAAACAGTGATGAAAAGATATGGAGAGACACTTTTGACAGACGTGAACATGAACAGCTGGAGGTGTGGTCCAGGCGCTGATCAATAGTTCTCTAATTAGTCTGAACACATTAGAAATCAATGATCTAAAAACACTGGTCCTCCGCTGGGCTTTAAGCGTAGGCTCTGTTTTATTCTCTTGGTTACGAGGTTGGACAAGTTCCAATACACTCTACGGCATTGTTTCCCAAAGACTGGGTTGCAACTCTCAGGTGGGTCGCAAGAGATTTTTTTGGGGTCATCTCGCATCATGTTTCCCAGGAGTTTGCTAATAATGTCTATTGACTTGGGTCGCGAAGGTTTGTGACTTTTAAAATATGGGTCCCCAGAAAAAAATGTTTAGGAAACACTGATCTACAGCCTCAGTGATGAACCTGTTAATAACAGGGTTTGATTATTATTATTATTATTATTATTTATTATATTTATTATTTACCTCTGCTGTTGGCTTTTTAAATCAAGTGTTTTTTGTTGTTTGATTTGGGAATTCATCAACAGTTACTGTACAAACTTGACCCTTAAAACAAAAGTTTTGAAGTCATTTAATACTGTTTGGAATGAGCGTCAGTTGTTTTGTTTCTGTTGGCGACGAGATGGCTTCATGAAAGATGAAGGAGGAGACCGTTGGCTTCATGAAAGATGAAGGAGGAGACGTTTTATATACACACTGATAATAAATGACTGATACAGTTACTGATACAGTGTGTGACGTCAGTGTGTGTGGCTATCACTTACCTCCTGACTGATGATGACTCTCAGTGAGTCACCTTCTGTTGAAGCCAGGAGCTCCTCTGAAACATCCATGGTATTTAATTTAATTTAATCTGTTGCTTGTTTTTATTCTAAGACTCTTGATTTTACATAAATAATTGGGCGCTTTTGTTAAAAGATATGGAACGACAGAATGCATGGAGGACAAAGAGTGAAGAACTTTAAGCGGCGTGGTCCGTGTACAGTCAGAAAAAACAGACCAATGGACCATGGCAACGATTGACTTTTCCATCGACCGCTGTCAGGCCAGCAGCTATACATTTCTCGGCAGTTAGAAATGGAATCAATAGATAATTAGTCTGTCACTGACAACGCCAGCCCACCGTGTCTTTATGTTAGCATCCCAGACGCCGGCTAATCTCATTCTTCACAGGATGTTCCCGGTCACTGGTTCACTGGTGGGCGTGTTGGTGAAGGATAACGGACGTTTTGGAAACATGTTGATTATTTTACCCATTCGTCAGGGAAGTTAATGGAGGCGTCAGATAGAGCGCTGTTTGTGTCCCGTAGTACTTCCTCCTTCCTCTAGTCTACAGCTCAGTTTGACTCTCCTCCCTAATAATGGTCTGCAAAGAAAAAAAAACACATTTCTGGTTTCTGATGGTGATTGACTTTTGACTTTTCATCACATATTCTATTTATGCTCATTTATATTCAGTGTGATCACGTGACTTCCTTTAGAAATAGTTTTAAGGAACCTGAAAACGAACCCGTCGGACTGGGCGAGTTACCTCAACGAATAAAACAAGAATTTCTGTTCATTTCGTTTACCAACTCAACTAATAAAACAAGAATTTCTGTTCATTTCGCCTCTAATGGTGTTTGTCTTAACAGCCTTTACGATAACAACATGGTCTGAAACTGCAGAGCTTTTTTTATCCTTCTTTATTGCCGACTGTTTCTTAGTACTCTTTAAAGGATAAGATGAACTGCTGTGTTTTTTCCGTGGTTTGTTTTTTTTTAGTTACGACAGATTTTGTCTGTAATGATTTTAATCAGGTAGATTATTTCCTAGAATTTTCTGCCTTCTTTTTCTCTATCAGCATTTGTGGCAGTGAGATTGACTTCTGTGGGGAGCAGATTCAGACGTAAACAGCCTGATAACTATCGCCACCTTCACTCTGTCCGAAGAACAGCAGCTCCTCGTGTCACTGCAGATCTTCACTTTTACATCGTACATGCTAAGCTTCCTTGTTTTTTCTTTCTTCTCAGGCCGGAAGTCCGACTTCGGTCAACGCTCCGTGCAGCTTCTCAAGGACGTCGGTTTCCCCCTCGAGTCAGGACATCTGCAGGTACGATTCCCCTGTAACCTCTGACTGTCATCGCTGTTGTTCTGTCAACACCTCTGGTTCATCTGTTTCATCTGCCACTCCATAATTGATTAAAAACTCACAGTTTTAGCATGCTAATATTAGCCCTTCAGCAGCACACTGACTGACAAGTGACAAGAAGTTCTGGAGTTTAGATTAGATCGTGGCATTTTTCACACACATTTACACAATCTTTAAACAGTTGTTAAAAACGACAGCGAGAGGTTAGAAAGAAATCCTCCGGTTGAACAGAGTGTGTAGACGCAGCTGTGGTCTTTAAAGAAAACGTTTACATTTCTCATGTCTTGTCTACTTCTCTTTCTTGTTTTTAAATTCCCCGCTTCTTCACCTGCTCTTCTTCACCACTTCATCCTTTTCTTGAACACACACACACACACACAAACACTCCAACAGTCACGACCAGGACTGTCAAAAACAGACCACAGTGGTTCTGCTGAATCCTGGTGCTAATCCCGCTCAGGGTTCTGGAGGAATCTCCGTCACCACGCTCTGCACCGATGATCTCCAGGCGTCGAAACAGCCTCGACCTCGTGACTGGATGTCTCTGCTCTGGCCCTCCTCCGTCAACATCCCACCCCACGGCTCGCTCAGGTTCTCTCTCTCTCTGAACGACATGGGCCAGCGCATGGACAGTCTGTGTCGTGGTCTGCACTTTATAGACCGTACCTGCTCGGAGGGGGAGCTGGAGCCGAAGCCCGAGCCTCCGCAGGTGCCCCACGTGGATCGAAAGGCGCACACACTGAATGTCAAACAGCCCGCAGCTCCGTCCTTCCTCCACCCGACTCCCGCCCAGACCACCCGCCCTCACTTACACTTTGTCCCTTCCTTCACCAACAACTGTGGCAGGAGCGTGCCATCGAAAGATTTTCCACCCCCTCCTCCTCCTCCTCCTGCTTCTTCCAGCTCCCACCTCCAACCAAATTGCTCCTCTAACCTCCTGCGCCTCCTGCAGCCCTTTTCCCGCTCCTCCACCTCAGCCAGCCTGCAGTGGTCTGAGCTGGGCAGCCAGGCCTCCAACAGGGCGGAGGTTGTTCTGGGTGAAGATGACGTGTTTGTAGAGGACTGGTCTCAAAAGTACGCGGGCCGGCCGGCCGTGGACGACACAGTCACGCGGCCCGGGCCACGCCCTCTGCTCGCCCCACTTTGCTTTATGGACGAGGACGGTGACTTGGACTGTTGCCCGTCCCCTTTGTCAGAGAAAACCGTACCGCTGTCACCTACTTCGTTGTCCGAGTGCTGCAGGTGGGTGACCTTCTTGGTGGTGTGACCCACACCTACCCTTACTGTGGCTTGGTAGTTCCCAGACCAGTCCCAGCTGGTGTCCTGGCAGGGAATCCTCAGACTGTGGAATAGTTAGGAGCTTTTCATCCCGTAGTGAAGAAAAAACAGCCAGTAAACATCCTCCACCTCAGACGTGTTTGTCTGCTTGGACAATAGAGCAGTAGCAGTCAACAAGTAGACATGTAGACTCCGCTGTCGTCCTCATTCCAACACCTGTGTGTCTAGAACAGAATCGTTGGGTTGGGTTTGGCATTGAATTGTTTGTGATTTGGGTTTCCAGGTCACTGACAGACGACTTTCAAGGTCAGGATAAAAGGGGCAGAGGTCAAGTTAGAAAACTGAGTACAGTTGATAAAGTGTGTGTGTGTGTGTGTGTGTTTGTTTTTGGCCTGTGTGTGTGGAACCGTAAACTGGAGGAGTCTCTCTGACTGGGTCTGCAGTGTTTTTCACATGACCATCTGTGCAGAATCATGTTAGTGGGAACAGGCTGATAAATGCTAGTGCTGCGTAAACAAGATAAACACACTTGGCCCTCTCTGTGTGTCTGTAACAAATCTCCTAAATCCATCAGAAAGTGCTTCATAAAAGTCAAACACAAAATAAAAAGTCAGGATCGGACATCAAAAAAACCAAAAACCAAATATAGCCCATCTGAAAACAGGGATACCATCGCCTTAGCAACCGGAGCCTGCAGCGTACTGTAGGAGAGAGGAAGGCAGTGAGGATTCATACTGGGATCTGCAGAGACACCTAATGCTGCTGCTACTTTGACAATCGGGAGATAAACATGGAGGAAACTGATTTAAACATTTTAAATCTCTGTGTTTTTAATACATATATTTTTTATGGTGCAAACCCCGAATAGTTTACATTTTTAGTTCTAAAATCTATATAATGGAATTCTGGAAGTCTCGCGGTATTATAGTGAAGGTGTACAGCTCCACAACTCTGTGGGTGCTCAGCCGTTCACACCACTCATGAACCAGCGTGTTTATTACACCTACAAGAAGGAGGCGTTTGATGTTTTTCATTAAAACATTTTGTACCGTTAGCGCTAATCAGCACCTCTGAGTGTCCTCTGTCCTCTGTCCTCTGTCCTCCCCGTCTCCTCAGCTCCATCCTGAGGTCAGCTGTCTGACACTGGGTCTCAGCTGTGGGCTGAGAAACGTGAGCTTGGAGTTAGAGAGGGAAAGGCCAGAGATCAGAGGGAGGATTATTGGCTCCAAATAGCTTGTATACTCCACACACACACACACACACACACACACACACACACACACACATGCCTAATGTCAGCTTTCTTGTCAGGTGGCTGGAAACGTGAAGTCAGAGTTCTAACCTGTGGTTTGTTTTAAACACTAAGCCCGAGAAAAAAGGTTGTTTTTTTTTGATTGTGAAACAGATTTGTCTGCAGGAAACCACACATCTTTTTTCTAATCAAAATAACAAGACATTTTGGTTTTCCTTCTTCTTTGGAAAACCAACGTCAGCCACGAGTCGTGTTCCAAACGAACAGTTACTAACAGGTGTTGGTGATAATGTGAACAGCCGTTGTTAGCACCAGGCTCAGGTTTCTCTGCTTTAACTGCTTCTCTGTTTTCTCTGTTATCTTTTTCGATAAAGCCCAGTTTCCACTGACACACTTCCTCTTTCAGATTGAGCAATGCTCTTAGTTTCAGTTTGAAGCGAGTTGATCAATTTTCACTGGAACTTCATCACAAACATTTTCCAAAGAACACAAATCTTTCAGTTAAGTCATTGATTTTCCAATTGCTTAAAAATTGGGTTTTATCATTAATTTTTTCCAATTGCTTAAAAATTGGGTTTTTTTTTACCTCAACTGATATGTGAAAAAAACATTAAAAATTGAATTTTGCTGCCTCTAGTGTTGGAAGATGACACTGCATACGGAGTTGATCACTGGTGGTTTTTACTTTTAAGCCAATGAGAGACAGAGACAAGCACTGAAACCACTCAGTTCTTCAGGATCAAAGGAAAGAAAGTACGAAATTGCAGAGTGATATTTTTTTACCACTCTTCCGTGCAGTGATGTCTCTGGTAGAAGAAAAAACAAAAACAAAAAACCAAGAGCGATGAACCTGAACACCTTCAGAGGCCTGTGATGCTGCCGATGTTTCCTCTCAGTCTGCGCTGCCACTTCCTGACTCCGTTTTGCTTCTCGCTTGTTAACACCGATGTTCTCTGAAGGCATTTGTGTCGTTTTAATATTCAGGTTGAACTGGGAGCACTTTATTTAAAGAATGCAACACAACGCCTGCTGCTGCGGCTGCTGCTGCTGGTGCTGACACACACTGATAAATGATCACAAACATCAGCATTTCATCTCTCCTTCATACAGATTTACGTATTTTTTTACTCCATTTCCACCATCCTGTCCTGTGTGGGGGTGTCCATAATGTTTCACCCATCCTCCACATTGAAACAGGCATTAACATAAGAATAATCATTTAAATATATCACTTCAGTGTTTAAAGTAATCACCCAGAGTCCGGGGGCCTTAGGGTTTTTTTTTCCTCCAGAGAAATAAAAGAAAACACAGTGTGTGGGATGGGAATCTGCACTTCATGTTTGTGATCGTACAAACAAACAGACAAAACCTCTCGCCCGTAGCTGCTGCAGAAAACCTCATCTCAGTCTCAGGATGCTAATTGTAATCCTACCATCCTTTAATCCCTCAACCCCCCCCCCCCCCCCCCCCCCCCCCCCCCCCCTCTCCCCCGCGCGTGCGAGAAAAGAATACCATAAA